AATCCAGTGCAGATGAGATAATTTTCACTCCCTGATATTAACCGTGTTAATCTGCGGGATTGTAGTTCAAAGGACAACAACAAAAACAATGGACAACAGCATGAGAATGACTAAATACGTATTCTCCACAGGAGTTAGTTGTTTGGCAGATAGCAAAGCACGTTTCTTACTTCGACAGATGGCAGGGTAACATTTGCGAGGGATTCTTTGAAAACTTCAAATGGGCATTTTTCCAAAGGGCAGCCATGAGGAATGATCGGATATGCTTCTTCGGACGCTGTGTCATTGTGGTAAGAAACCCTAACGAAATAGTTGTCTTTCTCGCGATCCAATTCAAACATAATGCTGGAAGCAACGGGTGGTATTTGGTCTATCGGTACTTTCATGGCGGACAGCAAAGACAGCAAGTTTCCGTCGTGCTAAACAAAATGCAATGCACTATACCACAACGGAAAGAAATTAGATTAAACTTACTGCAGAATAAATAACTACTTTCTGGGAAGTGCTTCCCATAGTTTTCTCTTCCATTTTAGATATGATTGTTCCCAAAAAAACACCTAGTTTTTTCTGTAGAGCACTATCGATAAATTAATGCAAGGTCTGTACCTGAACTCAGCACCACTTTCTTTTCTGAATCAAATTCCATTATTCTTTTCAGTTTATGCATGGTCGAGATGATGTCATATATGGACCTTGTCTCATTGGTCAGTGGATCGACTACTTTCTCCAAAGACCATTTTGGCAATTTGTATCCAATCGATTCCTGAAATAGATTCGTGCAAGTTAGTATCTATCAATCAATTGCTAGACAAACACAGACTAACAAAGCTTGGTTTGGAAGAACGATTTCCTGGGCTCCTACTGTTTAAACTTTACTCAGATATTCTCGTTGTGGTACGTGTTCATTTGCTCGCGCACAGGCGATCGTCTGTACATTTGTTCGGAGACTCATCAACTCATCTTTTGGGAGGAATGGATCGTTGGTTGATCTTGATTTCCATAGTCGTGAAACAGAAAGATGCAACCCATGATAGCTGAATGAAGCATTTGCAGTTTGTTTTATACATGCATATTCAATAAAATACAACGCAAAACGTTCAACATGATGCCACACTTGAGGATATTAGTAATTAATAATTAAAATTGTGTGCAACGCCTATTAAATAATCAGCAAATTGCATATTACATGCGTTAATGTTCTCTGGTTCTTCGAAGTATCTACCAGAATACGATCTATCCTGGCACTACTATGAGTTGAATCAGTGTATTTCCTCTATTGTGGCGGTAGCGGCTGGCCTACAATGAACTGACTGCTTGATCTTAGTTTCGCTCAGGCTTTGTTCCTTTTGCAATACAACTTCTATATGAATGGACAGTGCGAGTCAATAACTTGCGAAAACTCTCGATAGCGTCCCTCTATGGCATTGTTCGTTTTTCGTAGGCTATCATGGATGGTGTCAATACAATTCCGAACTGTTATTGCCTTCCTACCTGCGCTTTGATCGGGTAATCGTTCATTTCTGAAACGACCTCAAGTGCTACACTGTGGGAAGGACAGTGCAGAGAGCAATCAAATTTTTAAGGCGACAGTAGCATCGTTGCTGGAGACCGTTCGCCTGAATGCTTATGTACTTGCATTGACCCGAAGTGAGAAAAACATTCGCCATGCGGGTCATTTGAAAAGCGCTAATGATCACATGCTCGAAATCAGTCACTATCGACAGAGGTCCCAAACTTGGTTCCAGAGGTTAAAAGGCGTCCCACATTCGCAAATAACTAGCCTTCGTTTTGTCCGCCATGAAGGCAAACACCGATGGGATGGTCGTTGAAGCACTGTATCCCGGGGATCATGTTCAGTTGCTGAAACATTTGAGGAACTGTTTTAAATGTTCCATCGGCATACCAGTTGCATGATTGCGGCAATAGTGAAAAATTATTCGTAGCAGAAAAAATTAACGACGATCGTTACCGAGTCCGCTGTCATGCATTAGGAAACTCATGCAGCCAAATGTCTGCCTGTACTCTTCCGGCAGTAACAAATCGTTTCGGCTGGTTGGACTTGACGTGCGATTCGATCCTGGCGTCTGACTGTCTGCTTCATGCTATGGATGGATGGCAATTTTTCGGCTACTGACTGTGACAGCCTTGCAGATCTAAAGCTACAGTCTCAGGTAGAACCCTGAAACATTATCTCGCCTTCTTTCAGGTCTTCGATAACTTTTTCTACTCCTTTGGCGTAATCAGCAAAGTGGTTGTATTTCTCGATTGGCAAAATGACACGCTCATCCGATGTGTGCCATGTGGCAGGGTATTTGTTTTTCAGCTGAGTTTGCACTTCCACATTATCTTTTCTTCCGTCTCCTTGCTTTTGATAAACCAGCTACCCAGCGCACTAATTTTGGCTTTCCCTTCGTACTCGGAATCAGTTGTAGAGACATTTCTTGACGACGATCAAATCTCGACTACTTCTGCTAGGACAACTGTTCTCGACCAGCTGTCGTGCCTATAACATATGACCTGTACAGCAGCGGTAGAGACAATTAGCTACATGTCGAGGAAAGGGAATGGAAAGCAAATTTATGTGAACCGCTCGTTGTACTTCTATGGCAGGATCAACTACTATGCACATACTCCGGGGTTCATGGGCATCAGCGAGTCTTTACCATGAAGATCCGAATCACGACCGGTACTGCTGAATAACAGCGGTGGCAAAGTATGCAAAATGTTCATCATCATTCATCGATTCATTTCCAGATGAATGTCACAAATGCACCAAAAACACGTTTTCTGATGTTCTTATCCTTCTTGATCAAACGACTTATCCTGCCATCGTTCTGCATCTTTCTACTGACGATTTACTCTTTCTAGGAACCGATTTTAATGTCTTTCTGGTCCTTTTGCAATGTGTCCTCTCCACTGGTATTTCAACTTCCTCACGGGTGCAATGACATCGCGGACTCCTGTTCGTATTCTTGCTCATTAGTTCATCTTATTATTTCCACGCTGCATTTGCACTGCAGTTCATGAATAGCTTGTAGGCTTAGGATCGGCTTTGGCATTCCTGGATTAGCACTGGGAACGCACACACTGTCCATGTTATTAGTGTGCTATTACAGCGAGGTTACAAAACTGCACTATAGGTGCTTTTTTAAGGGAATCGATTATTCAACGCGTAAGCGTCGTCTTTGTACAAAAGGCGAGCCTAGATTGCGATTTCATGTCTCTTTTCATTAGGAATGCATATGAAGCGAATGAATTAATGCAGACTGCTGCGTGGAGCTTGTCAAATTCATTCATTTATTACGAAAAAATTAATTATCGTGATTAATATGCGTATCACATTGCTCATGATAGTCTCGCACGCATATTGAAAAACAAATGTTATGGAAATTTTCCAAGGTGATTTTCAGCCATATTTTGTATGTGTAACTTTAAGAGTATTTTTTAGGTGGCATATTCATTCCGTTTCTAACAGTTAAATAACCAGTCAAATAGTGGTATGGTATTGGTGGCGTCGGTGCTGTTGTCCAACAGCGACTTTCTCATAACTGTTTACTGAAACCGACAAGTAAGTCTATATGTCAGTGGTTAAGCATAATATGAAAAGTGTCATCTTAAGGTTGTCAGACGGCCAGCTATTGCAGTAGATTTTTTGACTGATATGGAATTATAAGTCGACAATGTGATTTGCACTGGCTCTTCATAATTTCATTTGTCTGCAAATTGCGTGGCTTCAACAGAAACCCTGAAAATAGCATTCAAATTATAGAATATAAACAGAGCTGGGAACAGCTATACTGGCTTTTTACAGAAACGAAGCTAGCATTAAGCATCGATTTCATGCAAAGCTAATCACTAGCTTTGCAGGGTTCACAAAAAGCATTCACAAGGCAAGAATATGCCAGCTACTTGTTGCAGGATGGACGGCTGTCTGAACTTATTTCTAGTAAAGTTCTGATAAATATTCTTACCTGTCTTGACAACGCGCTGTTCACATCGCCGATTGATAGAAAGTCTAGTTTCGAAAGGCCAGTGAAGTTTGCAATGCGAGCTAACAGTTCCTGAAAAAGAATATCGAGGTACGAAGCAATTTCTTAGCAAAGAGACACGTTTGTAGAGAAAAGCCTTATACCGAAGCCTGGACTGATTTTGCACGTTCGCAGGCTCATTATGAATGATATTTTTCTCTACGACAGCGATTAACTATAACCGTAAATGTGAATGAGGGACTGATGAGCAAGATAAAAATAGTTAACTGGGAAACCAGATTGCCAACACGCTCAAAGTATCAAAAACGGCATTATAGCAAACGCGCATTTCAAAAATCTGAACTCCTAATTATCGTCGCTAAGTCGTTTGATAATATGCAAGTCAGAGTTCATGACTGGT